GGAGGGGCCGCCGAGTGGTCATTGGCTGTGTCGTCAAGGCGACTGAGAAAAAAAAAAAGAAGAAAAAAAAAGAGAGGGTTCTGGGCCTCCCAGGCGAACCCAGGCAGCCGGCGTCTTGGTGGTTCCGCGAGGCTGTCTTCCGAGACCTGTGGGGCCCAGGCGCCCAGGGTTCACACCACATTCCAGGAGCTACCGACGAGGAGTAGTGGCCGGGAGACCTGCGGGCCGGGACCATGGGCTGCTTCTTTTCCAAGAGGCGGAAGGCTGAGAAAGAGTCGCAGCCCGAGGGCGAGGAGGAGCGGCCGAAGCAGTACAGCTGGGACCAGCGCGAGAAGGTAACCGGAGTCCCGCAGCTTCTGTTCTCAGCCCTCCCGAACTGCTCCACAAAGGTCCCTTGCGGCCCGGGAGGGCTGAGGGGGCTGACCCAAACCAATACTTTCCCTCTTTCTGTCTCGCTCTGTCTCTCTCGCTCTCTCTCTCCCTCTCTCTCTTTCTCTCTTTCTGTTTCTCATAGTTGAAGTCGGGATGAATGACTTTTGGGGGAGCCATATAATATAGCGCTAGAGAGGCGCTGCGGAGGACTGTGAAGCGCCGGAAGGGGCCTTAAAGCTCACTGTCCAGGTAGATGGATCGCTGAGGGTTTTCCCTCCTCTCCACGCCCTGACCTCCGGTCCCAGGATGGACTCGAGTGAAGGAAGGAGAACGGGCAGTGCCCAGAATCCCAAATCTGCTCATTCTCCGGCAGCGCCGAGCGGGGTTTTGTCCAGTCCTCGAGTTACACATGGGACTGATTCTCATCTCTTTCGCGGCTTATGTTCTTTCTGGGGTTGTTTTCTCTTTTGTCTGCCCTAGCCAGTAAATCTCTTTGGTACCTAATGGTATATTCCACTACTGAATTTTCTCAATAATGAAGTGGACTGTTTAACGTACAGCTTTCCTTTCCTTTCTCTTCCAGTTACCCGAAAGGAATAATGAAAATTGAATCTGTCTTGGAATGTTTGTTAAGACTGTATGGTGAAAATAACCAACATAAACCAGGCAGTAATTGTTATAGCTTTAAGTGAATGAAGACGCTCTAATTTTTACTTTTATATAGCCAGAAACGAGAAAGCTTTGAAAATGCCCACTAGTCTTGCACAAAACACACTTAGTCATACATTTCATAATGCTTCCTCTTTCTACATAGTTCTCCATTTGTATTTAGTAAAGTACTTTGATAGACATATCAATTATTTTTCTTTCAAACAAAATGAGAGATTTCTAAAATGTGTGTTATGAACACAACTTCTTGGTTAATGTAGCATATCTTTATCCATGAATGCTTATTAATGTTTTGATTTCATAGACCTGACTGTGTGATTTCCAATCCCCAGCAGAATTTACTTCTGTAACCTCGGCTCTCCAAGTGTCAGATTTAAGAAAGTGGATGCTTTTTGCAGACTTCTCAGCCCCATCTTTCTGCCGATTTCTCAGATCCCTCTTGGGTTGCGTGGTATATTTATTAATTCTCTCTTATCCCTACTTGTAGCAGCATTTTGTAATGTAGGAATGGAAAGTACTCTGCTTTCTGTCGTGCCAGAAGATTGTACCTATCGTTTAAAATTACTTGATGTACAGTTTTTAAAAGATTCATTTCCTCAGCCCTATTAGTATTTCTAACAATGCTGTTTAAGCTTGAACTGTCCGCCATAGAGAAGGTAGTGTATTCATTTTTATTTTAGCTTTTTGTTTTGAAATCATAGCCCTAAACTAAACTAAACTAAACTAAAGTGCTTTTGTTTTTTATTTAGAGTAATCTATTATGGTTGCCCTCTTACTCATTACTTTATAATAAATTGTCTTGCATTTAACCTTCATTAACATGATGTTCATGTTAATCTTTCTCCTTTTAGATAAATGGATGTGCTCTGTGATTTTTTTTTATTTTACTCTTTGGCTAAGTAAACACATTTGAAAAATAGAATAGCAGACACCAAAATCTAAGCCCCCCCCTCAAATGAGCTTATAGTAAACTTTCTATTGTAGACATTGTTTTGAGTTTACAGGGAACATTCTTTGGGACCACTACTAGGTACTGTAGTAGTAGAGACGTAAGAGATGCTACTGGTTATGTGTATAATAAAAATTAAAATCTTGATCAACATATCAAAATTTTTCTAAATGAGCATTTTTATTCTGAAAACTGCACGTTTAAACTCTTTTGGACTATTAGAGAAAGAGAATTACCAGCTTACATTTTTAGACAGTGGAGATACCACATTTCTAATCATTGCTTTTTCTTTTGGGATTTTTTTTCTTTTTAGAATTGCTAGGCATTCACTCTAAGGTGCTTCATATATGAAAGCCTGCTAAATTTTATATGATTTTAAAGTTTTAAATGATTTTTTTCTAGTTCCTTACCTCTTATGAGGCCAATTTGGGCGAGTGTACAAATGTTCTGTATTAGTCTAATGATGCTTTTATTGAGGTTAGCATGGTCTGGCTTGGTCTCCAAAGATTTTAACTGTACCTTAAAAGAAATAGAATGCAAATACAGCCCATAGAACATAAATGAGATATGTTGCATGTATATTAACAGAATAGTTTGTACTAAAAGTTTAGGCTTCTATAATGTGATCAAGGAATATAGCATATACAGTTTTTTTTGTTTTTTTGGGGTTTTTTTGTTTGTTTGTTTGTTTTTTTTTTTAGCTGAGCCATCCTGCTACCTGTTGGCAGCTCAGCGGCTGCTCAGCTCGGGCTGGACTCGAACCGCTGTTGCTCAGAGCTCAAACTCTTGAGCGAGCTCTTAACCAACTGAGCCACTCGGCCGGCCCATAGCATATACAGTTTTAAAGTTATACCAGACAATTACCATTCAGCTTGTAAGACTTTAAGTGTAAAAACAAAATGTATTGCCTATAAGTTGCCTCACAACTTGGAAAAGTTGTGTTTAAATTTTTCCTTAGGTTGTGTAATCAGAGTATCTTTATTGAGAGGCACCCTCTGGGTTTTGGGGTTTGAGCTGTGTAATTGGGTCAGTCTTAGGGGACTGAAGCTAGGAGAAATTGTCTCAATTAGAAAGAATGTTTTGGGACTAAGTGTTGTCATGGCAACAGATATACTGTAATCAACAGTGTAAGAAGTTCATTTTCTATTGCCACTGACTTTGAAAAAGAAAAAACAGCTTACTCTACAATTACTACATTGACATGATGAGAAATATTTTGGATTTGTAAGGTCGTGTGTTTAGATCATTTGGAAAGAAATGTTTTTATCCTTGTTATCTGTATGTTGCCTCTCATAGCTAGGCAAATTATTCAATATATATGTACTCAAACACATATGAAGAATCAAAATTATAAGAATTATCCCTGCCCTTGAATACCTGACTGGCTTTTTAAACAGGAAATATTTAAGTACAAAGGGAAGATCAGTGGTACAGAAAAGTCATTTTCATTTTCCAGTTAGTCATACCAGTACTCCTCCTAGATGATAGAAATGATGGCATAAGTATGAAAATTATGATTTTGAGTATGGATAGCACATTTTGTATCCATTATATTTGCCTCATATTTGATAGAAATAATACTAAACAAAAGCCTTATACCAGAGATTGAAGTAACTGCAGTTTATTCAGTGTCTGTTGTGGAACTTTGCATAAAGCAGCCAATTTGTGCATTTCAGGATCTTTGACTATAAAATGGGACAGTGCCGAAGATTTCTCTACTATTTAGTAAGGTAAAGGCCTGTCCTGAGGAAGAGGGGTTACACAGTAATGGTCACCTCTGAGGACAGAACTTGGACCCGAGGTTGGGCAGGACAGAACTGGTCTTAACGTAAGACAGATCATAATTCCCCGAGTTGTTCACCAGTGGAAGTGTGGCTTTGTGAGGAACTGATCTCCGTGTTAGTGAAAACATTCAGACTAGAAAGAAGTCTGCATTGAGTAGGGGGCTAGAGGCTATTTTTAGCCTTTTAAGTACATAAGATATTCTGGTTATCCATTGCTGTATATCAAAACTTAATGGCTTAGAATAATGGCAAGTACTTAGTTTGTTCACAACTCTGCAATTTGTGTGGGGCTTAGCAGAGTTGGTTCTCTGTTCTGTGGCATCAGCTGGGGCAGCTTGACTTGGAGCTGGAGGATCTACTTTCAATATGGCTTAATTACAGAGCTGGCTGGCCAGTTGATGCTGGCTTTTGGCTGGGAGCTCAGCTGGGGCTGACGGCCAGGGGAGTCTTCACATAGCCCATGCTTCCACACAGCATGATGGCTGGGTTCCAAGGGCGAGTGTCCTAAAGGAGACTGATAGAAGCTGTATGGCGTTTTCTAACTAGCATCTTAAGCGATGTAGCATTACTTCTGCCACATTTGGTTGGTTGAGGCAGTCACAAATGTCCACCCACATCCAAGGGGAGGGGACCTCTTGATGGGAGAGGTGTCAAAGAATTTGTCGACATGTTTTAAATCCTTTACATAAAGTTGTTTTTTTAAAGGAAATAGTTTTTTATTCATTTTAAAAACAGCTTTATTGAGCTATAATTCATATGCCATACACTTCACTCAAAGTGTACAATTCAATAGTTTTAATAGGGTCACAGGGTTATGTTAGCATCACTATGATCTAATTTTAGAACATTTTCATCCCCCACAAAAGAAACCCATAGCCCCTCTCCCTAGCCCCTAGAAACCACACTTTTATTTTCTATCTCTATAGATTTGCCTTAATTTGAACATTTATCAATGGAATAATACAATATGTGGTCTTTGGTTACTGGCTTCTTTGACTTAGCATATTTTGAGATTTATCCATGTATCAGTACTTTACTGCTTTTTATTGCTGATAACATTCCACAGAATATTTTATTTATTTATAAATAAATTTTATTTATCCATTTTATTTATTCATTGGTTGCTGGACATTCAGGTTGTTTCCACTTTTTGGCCATTACAAATAATGCTGCTGTGTATATTTGTATACAAGTTTTTGTGTAGACATATATTTTTATTTCTCTTGGGTGTATGCCTGAGAGTGAAATTCCTGGGTCATATAGCAACTCCATGTTCAACTTTTTGTGGATCTGCCAAACTGTTTTTAAAAGTATCTGCACCAGGGGCAGGCAGTTAGCTCGGGTGGTTAGAACACAGGCTCATAACAGCAAGGTTGCTGGTTTGATTCCCACATGGGCCAAGGAGCTGCACCCTCCACAACTAAAAGTATCTGTACCATTTTACATTTCTACCAGCAGTGTATGAGTATTCCAATTTCTTCACTCTTATAAATTTTGATAAAGGGAAAAAGCACAGGGAGTGGAAAGTATGTGGGACTGAGGTTTTAGTTTGTATTCTGTA